TTTTGATTTCAAAAACTGAACCATTTCGATAAAACCTCCAAAAAATACGTAAAATACGGTATGCAGATTAACAAATAGAGTATTAGAGCCGGTAATGTCGGTTATTTCCAAAGTTCAATGACTCGAGAACTTCAAGAATAATGACTGCTAGAGCTGAAAAAGATGCTATGAAAAGAGCTAAGTTTTCTCATTTCATTAATTGCATGCAATATCATGCTAAGTGACGTAGACGCTAAGATTCGGCAAGGATAATAACCTGGGGTGCTAATATTCTGCATTGAGATGATTTGGATCTTAAGTGAGGAATGTAATAGATGAAATTATGTAAAATTAAACGTTTCTGCAGATGGTTCAACTTAGAGATTATTGTACTTAATAACAATGGTAATTTTCCAAGAAAAACATTCTGTGATCGGCATTCCAACCAGAAACATGCCGAACATACAAATTTATTATTTGTTGGCTCATGATACGAAAATGGGACGTGATTACCTGGCACAATGTTAGCCACATTTTTGTAGTTAAATTATTAATTATAATAATGGCAACGGTATTTCTCATTTGAGACAAATTGAAATGCGGAATATTAATTTGCTGGCAGGCTAATTCTAAAGTCTGACCTACATTTACTACAATGCAAAACAAGGCAGTTTATCACTTTCAGGTACGTTTTGTTCCTTATTGTATCAGAACATCTTTTATGTTTTTTTTTTATGTTTCTTTCTTGTCGCTTTTCTTATGTCAAATGAAAAATCGAAATCTACGTTTTATCGCTGAATCCTGCAAGCTTAATCAGAATTTTTCAAAACGATTTTAGATTTGAAAAAAGTGCTTACGAATGCTTTTCATTGTGAAATATATTAAAGATATTTCGCAATCATCCGAGCTACTTAAGCTACGAAATCTCATAAATTTAGTTTAAAAGTATATAACTGCGCTTTTTTGGTTTAAATTTATCCAATTCACATCCATTTATTTATCTTCAATATTCGCCTTTTCAAATAGAAGACTTTAAACATTTTCTCAAGACCAACCAGTGGTTATATCTCATTGGCCAAATCTCTATAGGAGCATGATTTTGTAACTTTTTCATATTGATTTTTTTCCCATTAATTTAATTGATATGATTAAATTTTTTACAAATTTTTAAACCACCCTCTACATACCTCTTGATGTCAACAAGGCAGCTCACGCTCACTCCTCAGGCAGTAGTTTCCCACTGAGATCTGAAAATTGGAAATTGTGTTGGAGCTTCCGTTTTCATTTTCCTTTTAATATCGGCCGTTGCGGTCAGAAAGCCGAAACGAAAAGTTCGATAACACGAATGTTCCACTTTATATTTGTTTTTTTTCGAACTGATTTAATATGTATTAAATGGTACAAATAATGTACCGGAAGAAGGGTAATTTAACATTTCGCTCCGGATAGAGCAAACAGCAAAGTTTGCTTGACTAATTTGTTAACACAGTTCGAATACCATATTTTGAGGAATTATTCATAAGGTTCAGGTGATTATATTTACATTAGGGGCATAGTCCTAGTTGAATAATTACTTTAAAATGTTTTGTTGTCTTTTGAACTACTGGAACAGCCAACAATTTAAATTGAAGCTAATGGAAAATAAGTACAAATTTATAGAATTATACCTTTGCACATTTACATATAGCAGTTTTAGGACAAAGGAAATATGTATTAAATATTAATTTGATAATGCGAAATTAAATGCTTTCAAAACACACCATTTATTAGCAACGTAACTTGAAATTGGAAATATTTTTCTTACAAAGTTTAGCAAAAATTCCAGTTCGGTTTCGCGTGAGTTTGGGACAATAGAAACTGAAACTGCTAATACTATGAGCTGATTATAAACCATGCTTAAACTCTACAATTGCCTCACTCATTGCTAGCTACTGTGTTTGTAAAATTGACATGTAATTTCAACTTTTTTGCTACTTTCAATAGCGCATTACCTTTAGCCGCGACCCCATCAAATTGTACATATTTCGCTTTATCATGGAGATTGGAGTATTCATTATCAGCCCAAAAAACTACCAAGCATTTGAAAGGATTGCTTTCGAGCACCCCAAAGTGAACTCATGCAAGCTTCATAAATCCCACCACATAACATTACTTATGACATGTTTGTTGATTGTAATGGGGCTGATGATGACTTAAATTTATTAGTTACAATTGCTTACATTATGAATTGAAAAAAATAAACATTTTTTCGCCATATTTTTATAATACTAAAGAAAAGATTCAATAAATCATAGCAAAAATTAAGAATTGTTGTACTTTTTTTAATTATATGGACAATTTAGTATCAGGTAGGATAAAATGTTCATTTTTGTACCTGATTTTTTCTTTATTAACTAGCATTCGTTTCTTGTTTATTTAAACCGAAGCAATGACCTAAATGGTTTTTTTTAAATTACTTTTTGAAACTATCTGGGCCAGAACATCCAATTCGAATTTCATAGCACACCTTTGGTTTCAACTACTGCTAAACACAAATTACTCCCGGAATGCTAATTGTATGTTTGTACCAGAAAATTAATGGCATCCAAATTTGTCAACCACAATAATATGATCACCAAACAAATTATATCCATGTTTTAATGACCGATAGATTTTCCGCTTGTGTATCCAAAATAGCAATTTATATTGCATGTATGTTGAGTTTTGTAATATTTTCTTTGCTTGCGAGTTAAATGTGTATTAAGTTTGTATGTAAACGAGATTTTTAAGTTCCCAAAAGTCAATTGGCATGTGCAAGTCAGAGTATCATTGAAAAATTTTGAAAAATAAACATGCTATTTTGTCACAATTCTATAAATATATGAACAACTGAAATGTTATTTAAAAACTTGGAAAAAACTCGCTTGATTCCGAGCGTATTTATAAGTTTATAAGCTGTTGAATAAAAGTTAAGCAGTAAATTTAGGTATTAATTATTAAGCATTGGAGGGAAGTGTCATTTACCTTCTAGCTCTAATTGGGCATTAGCAGCCGCCTGGAGAAATTAGTCAGGTTTTGTTATAAATGGAATTTTGTAATTACACCAATATTCCTTACCATTTGAAGAGACAGGTACAAGCTAATCGTCTATTTTTTCAGTTTCTACCGGGTCGAGTAATTAATTATATTTATTGGAAAATCATTACTAGAACATTAGGAAATAAAGTAATGAGATATCGGATTGCTATCCGGAACAACTTCATCAGGAACTTAATTTTATTTAAGTAAAATTATTCCCACTGGGTTATAAATTATGTTTACTTATTTATTAAATGTTTAACTATTAATGGCGTCCTGACTTCACTCATAACTTAAAAAATAACACTTGGCACGACAATGCAAATAATATATTACCTATACAAAATAATTGTTATATTGATTTTTTCATTTCAACAGTAGATAGAACCCAAACCATATGACGCTATTTTTATTTACCATTTTGTCGAAAAATCTAAACTGACGGAGAGAGTGTTAGAAATTGAAACAAAAATTATATAAAAAATGTATCAACAACAATGACGCAAAACTTTGACTTGGTATGTATATCTAAAGAACTATTTGAGCTACAGAGCTCGCTTTCCTAGTACCGGATAGAGAATTAAAAACCAAGTGAATCTTGAATGATGAAATAAGCGCAGTTTGCACACAAAAACGTAATTTATATTTTAAATGGTTCGATTGATATAAAATACTTATGATCCTTTAATAGCAGTTTTCTGAAACATAACATCTACAAAATGTTCAGTTTTCGAAAATTCGAACATTACACATTTTACGAATTTTATTAAAACCGCATTATATATTTTGCCTCAATTGTTTCACTATATTCAAATCCCTTGATCCTTCACATCAAAGCATGCATCAAAAAATGTCTCACTGGAGCTAATTTGAAATTGCTTTCTCATAAACACTGCACATCTACTATTAATAAAACTCAACTTGTATTTTCTAAAAATTACAAATTTATAAAATTTGTTCGTTTCCGACTAAGCATGAAAAAATAAAAACAAAATAAGCTTCCAAGCCCATAATTTTGTCATCCATAACTGGTGAGAGTAATATTTATAGCACAGATTTCGGCATTAGCAAGAAAATCAGTTAAAGATGTATTTTGCACTTTATTATTTATTCAATCTACCACTAATACTGCTGTCAGCACTTTATCGCATTTAAATATTAATTGGCATTAAAATTGAATAAAAGAAAAATAATTCCAAACAAAGCGAACACTAACAAACATAACAAACTAAGCTGCTAGCCAAAACAAACAGCAAATTATCTCCAGCTTGTACGTATTTTAAAGTGAATTAGTTATAATGCTAGAATATTGTCTTATTTAAACCAAACAGCTTAAACTAAATTAATGAGCTGATGTTTGCTGCAGCTTGCTTCTCATAGTACATAACATCAACACTACGTTTAGTTAGTAACTTTTTGTTTGCGTATTATGCGAAAACTTATTTTTAATCAAGCTGAGCGGCCACATAATTCGGGTATGTTGATTCGTGTATGCCAATTTCCGGAAATGTACAATTTAACTCTTTATCATTGTGGGACATTATAATTAATATCGGATTTAATTTTAAACTAATTTTGAATATTATTAAACGCAGCATCAAAGGCTCGTTATTATATTCCACATTGCTACAAATGTAAAATTAACGACTGGCTATGTTTATATCAAAGTCGACATAATTTGAATAATACGAAACTGCAATATATGATTGCCAAGTGAAGTGTTAACAATTGATAAACCCAATATATGTTTCAAATATTAGGTGATAGTCGGGTACATTCGTCATGTAACAAATGAGATGTTTGCCACATCAAACAGCCTTAATTTGAAGAAAAAAAATTACAGTGTCAAAATATGAGTTGTTGCAGTTTTTTTTAATCGAATGATTTGTTTAATTTTATAAGCAATTTATACGGATGTAAACAGACTCATGCAGACATAATAAATAAGCCATCTTTTTTTCCAGGTATATCTTGTTGGTCATGTTCCTCCAGGCTCAGATGAAAGACACAGAGGCCAATCTAGTCCTGCCCATACCATAATGTACAAAAGCTACCACAACAAACGATACTTAAAAATTGTCAGAAAGTACCACTCAATAATAGTCGGCCAGTTTTTTGGCCACCTACATTCTGATACCTTTAGAGTAATGTACTCAGAAAATGGTAAGTGTTTTGCATAACAATATTAGTTAGTTTTCGCCTTCAGATACATCACATTAGATTTTACCACTGATTTTTATAAATATAATGCTATTATTACTTTTTCGCATACGGCCGCTTTATGTCTTGAACTTAAATTAAGACAACACTGTTCTCTATTTTTATAAAACGTTCTTGTATGTATTTCCAAACAAATCTTAAACTGCTGAAAAATTATCTGATTTCACAGTGAAAATAAAAAAATATACCTATCCTAAATCTTATTGTTAATCGTACGTACGTTCTTGTATGTATTTCCAAACAAATCTTAAACTGCTGAAAAATTATCTGATTTCACAGTGAAAATAAAAAAATATACCTATCCTAAATCTTGTTGTTATATCGTACTATCAATGTTGCAATAATGGACCTAATTGGAACCAAAGTTACTTGACTCCCGTCTCAACTTGCTCGGGTCAAACCATAACACTATTTAGATAAGAACGTTGCCACTTTCCTAATCCAGCTAAACGTCGAAATGGGGTTTACCAGAAAGTCTCTGATGAGATTTCCAGGAACGAGCATTGAGTCGGGATACTTTTATGAGAAGAATGTTACTTTAGATAACATAACATCACTTGGCAAATTTCACGCCGGTTTGGATCTGAAAGAATTTCGTGAAGTATCAAATAATGCATAAACGATTAAAAGCAGACGCAATGAGCAAACAAACATCCGTGATTTAAAAGAGGCTTCGGATTTGACAAAACCCTGACTTGCTTGTGGGTATGAATTGAATGTTGAAATGGAATCTCACAAATTAATCTTAGAAGCGTACTTGGAGTTATATTGGAGAACAAATTCCACACTTTCCGTTGTATGGCGAGCACTGATTTAATAATATATGTATATTACTATGACCTTGTAGTTAAATGAGTAAAGATAAAATAAATATGGTATTAAAAATCGTCTTAGAATATTCCTTTGATATTTTCTGCGAATTTATCAGCATTTATAATACAGTTTACGTTAGTTATAAAATCCACTAAAGTGGGCCTAGTTTTTCATAAATAAATTCTATGGAAAAACGTTTTGTTAATCAATGCTTATTGGTTGCAATGACATAAATTTCTAGTTTTATCTTCTATGACCAGCATTGTGCACATATTTGCTTTGCGTAAACACAATGTATAACCGTTCTGTTTCACGTTAATCAAATAAAATTTTCCAAAAATCAGTAATGCTACTTAACAGATTAATTCAGACGAGGATTAATGAAGATAAATCAGTGAAGCGCCCCAAATCGAATAAAAAGTCCCAATCCCCATTTCCAATAAATATGTTAAACATGTTTATCCGTAATTTCGTTTCCTATTTCATTATCTCCAGGCGCTGGAAATAAAAATGTATGAGGCAAAAATCGTTCGAAACGTCCAACCCCATGTTTATCGTTTACGGTATCGCTTCGTAATATGTTTATCCGAAATTATTCCTCTGCTCTGTGATTACCTTATAATCATATACAGGACCGGATCAGAATCTGCAACTAATTCGGAAAAATCGTAAAAAAGAACTGAAAATTGGTAGTTGTTTTCTGGCAATCGCTAATCAAGCGTAATGTATAATAAACAATTAACTGAATTAATTTAAGGTAATTGTTTAGCAAATCAAATAAGGATTTTTCCATGTATCTATAGCACTTTGGAAGTGTATGCGACAGTTTTCCAACCTTAAATTTAAACTCGCACTATTTTCGAGTTTAACATTTATTTAAAATGAAATAAGTGTTTTTTTAAGAAGTCGTTTCGGCTGTATTTTCTTACTATAATTTAATTACCGTTTAGTTGTTTCGAGCGAATATATTTTATGAGCAAAGAACATTTAAAACTGCTTGCCGAATTTGCACATTTGCATACCTGCACTTTTTCGTCATGTGTCAGTTTTTCGTCATCAATTGCATTTAGTTTACTTTCACTATTTCCATTTAGTTGTGTGTGTCTCTAATTCTCCCAGCAAAATTACAACCCTGCCTGATATTATATTAGCTTTAAAGTCCTTTTTGATAGCGAGGGCTCTTCGAGCCCAATGTAACGAAAAATTGTCGCGCTTTACAAGCGAGTTTTATTTATGAATAGAACATTAAACTGCGTTTTATTTTGCGAGTGTTTGCTATTCGTTTAACGCTTGCAAATTTATACTTGCTATCTCGTTTCATTTATGTTCGGTTCGAGGGTAATTAGCTTTTAAAGTCGACAAACTACCTGAGCTTAAATGCTAACAGGCCAACAGCAGATTGCATAATTTTTCAATTGAATTCCGAATATATTACATAGCAGAATTGATTTTGTTTATTTATATTCGAAGCGTTATCTCTTGCTATATTATTTCCTAAAGGTCTAGTGCAATAGAAATTTATTTTTAGTGGCACAATTCACTCGCACATATCGTCCATTTTATTTACTTACTCCTGATATTTACATTGATTATAAAGAATTAGTTATAAATGTTATTAGAATATGCAGTCGATTTGCTGGCTGATTGATGGGTGTCACGGCATCTATTTTCATTTCAAAATACTTGATTCAAATATTGTCGACATACATATCCATTAGGGAACCGAACAACTATTAAATATCCATAGTCATTTACATCTAGTTTGATCATTTGTCTCAATCACGACCGGATTACTAACTGAATATTCCTCTGCTTGGTATTGGAAGTAACAGAATAATCTGATTTTCGTCAAATGCGTTTGCAGTGTTATGCATATATGATCGTTAAAATCACGTATGTTTTAAGCACAAGAGACATTCACCGTGAATATCAGTTTATGCTAATTGAATTAATCTAGAATATTTTGGTTAACAGATTTTGTGGGGATATATTCGGAAATGTCATCGATTAATTAATAATTCCATGATTTATGGCATCGAGTAAGAAAACAGTATTATTTGCATTCAGATTTTGAACTCGACGTTCATTTTCCTTACTGTGTAAAGTGAGGACATAATTTAGAGTATTATACGTTTCATGCTTTAACTGGGGAGGCGAATATAAATAAGCAATAATCGACCGTTTTCGACTTGAGAAACTCTTGGGTATGCTTATACAGACGGATTCCAAATTATGCATTGGGATTTTCATTAAAATTCTATAGAACCGTAATTTTTCAACTTGAAAGCTTTCCCAAATTTTGCTGTTTATAGGCAATGTTTAGAGGTAACCAAAGTTTAGAGCTAACAAAAGTGTGAACTACTTTAGAATATTGCTTAATGGCAAAGTTGAAACTGAATTTTCAAGAGTTAATATTTTCGCGAAATCAATTAATTTTATTATTTACTTAAATTTCATTTTATTTATTACTAAATTTTCCATTATTTCGCTTTTAGAATGTATATTATGGACCTAGTTTAATTACGCGGTTTCTTTCCATAAAAATGATGTCGCTGTTGGGAAATTTAGAGATGATTTTTTAAAAGATTGGTAAATCGCTATTAAAAAGCGACTTTATAACGTTTTGGATCAAAAAACGAATTTTAAAAAATGCGTTCTTGAACTTGTTTTTCGACTTCCGACTGAAGAAGCTTCTCAATGTGCATCTATAGGGTGTTTAGTCCATAATAGGTAACAGTAATAGTAACATCATTTAGGGTTAAGGACAACAAAAATCGTTTTTATTTGAGGCATTTTGAGGGATTTCAGATTATTTGGTCGTTTTTTCAACTTTCCAGTTCGTC